TTAAACAAATGTTACATACTATGAAGTAGCATACAGTGAAGTATGAAAGTAGGTGAACAGCAGTGCTCTTTGACATCAGACAAGAAAAACATCAATACTTTAAAATGTTTGGAAATCACTACTGAACATGTTAAAATTACACATGCACCATTGTTTTGGTGTAATTTGTGATTTAGAGCTTATTTATTTACAGGGACAAAACAGTATTTATAAATGCCAGAGCAGTGTGGTTCCAAAGTGTGGCTCCTGGACCACCACCAGCAGCAGCAGCCATGGCATTATCTGGTAACTTGTTATAAGCGCAGATTCTTGGGCTCTACCCCAGACCAACTAACTGTATCAGAACCTGGAGGTTGGGGTCCATTAATCTATGTTTTAACAAGCTCTAAAGTTTGAAAACCTCTGTACTACAAGAATAAAACAGTAATAACAAATTGCCAGGAATGCTAAAACAAAATCAAACCTATAGATATTTCCTGAAAGTGAGCTGGAGATTACTTCAGCTAATTTTTTTTTTTCTTAATTTGAGATGGAGTCTTGTCCAGGCTGGTCTCGAACTCCTGGGCTCAAGTGATCCTCCCACCTCAGCCTCCCAAGTAGCTAGGACTACAGGGACGCACCACTGCACCCAGCTAAGTTTTATTTTTAAAACTAGAATCAAATATAAAAGTATCATGCAACAGGAAAAATTTGATGGCTAAATTTACTATACCTGTCTCCCTTGAAATATTAGGTTTCTTTAAAAAAAAGTCTCCAACCTTTATGAAGAGGTTCGTTCTAGAAGCCTAAAAGAAAACCAGGCAGATGGCTCAGGCCTATAATCCCAGCACTTTGGGAGACCAAGGCAGGAGGATAGCTTGAGGCCAGGAGCTCAAGACCAGCCTGAGCAACATAGCAAGATCTCATCTCTACAAAAAATTTAAAATTAGCTGGGCATGGTGGTGTGTACCTGTGGTCCCAGCTAAGTTGGGAGGCTAAAGGTACAGCAGCAAAAAAGTCCATTTCTTTCACATTTTAGGGCAGTGAATAGTCAAGTTTAAAAATAATGATAGATCAAAAAAATAAAATTCCATCCCAACTAACAAAGAAAATAATGGCTGCCTTCTTCACTAAAGAAATAAGTAAGGCACTCAGGGGCAGATTCTAGCTTATAGTCTGACCGAAGTTAGATGACTACACAAAAAAATAAAAAAATAAAATTCACGAGAAAGGCACAATGCTTTGATTCCAAGGGAAAAGCAAGTGTTAACAAAACATGGTCCCCAGGCTAATAAATGAAAGGCTCCATAAGGCCAACTTCAGGTTTTTCTTTCTAGCTGAGAACACGAAGGAAACCTTCTCTAAAGGGTTACATAGATTGGAGGCAGATCAGTGTTAACAGCTGAAGAGCCTGTCCAGCAACCAGCAACTGTACTGAATAGTATTCCCAGGCACAAGCCTACAAACCACCAGAAAAGAGAGGTCATGTATGGAAAATCACTGAGTAGCTGTCCAGACACTCTAGAAGCTACTCCACAGCCTGTCCCATTTCCACTGATTCTAGTACTGAATTAAAGAGAGAAGGTAGTAGAACACTACCATTGTCAGACTCCTTGCTCACTTCATGTTATCCACCCCTAAATCTGCCTATATTCTTTTGTAGAAGGCAACTTTTAACACAAGAGCCTCCAGTTTAATATTTCATAACATGAACAAAATTTTTATCACATTGTAAACAAGGAGTATTATTTGTAACTGACCTCTTATAATTCTTACTGTTTGAGCAGATATCCACCTCCAAAAAGAACTAAAGAGAAAGAGAGAGAGAGATTTGAAGGTTTTAAGAAAAAAAAAACTCAAATTTTTGTCAATTCCTGTTTTGCTCAGCATAGTACAAAATTAATAACATTCAAAGTATCCTTTTTTTTCTGGTCAAATCTATTACTAAAGTTAAAGCATAAAGTTCAGCAGTTTATTATTTGTTCAATTCTGTAAATCAAAAGCAATTCCATATTCAAAGCCTTTATTGTTTATGAAAGTATTTAACAATAGCCCAGGCTTACCATTTCACAAGGTGGCTTTTCCAATTGTACAGTTGGTGAATACATTCCAACTCTTTCATTTCCAATATTTCATCAAAAATGAAGCAGTGGGAAGAAGAGAACCACTAGATTCTCTATAACTCAGTGAGGCTCTGATTATGTTTCCAAGTGGTTATACCTATCCACGAAAGTTGGGAGCCAGGGAGAGAACAGAACTCCCATTATATTAAATCCCCAACCTCTAAAGAATCAAAGAGTCTCTAGCTACTACCTAAATCATGAGTTTCCTTTTAAGCTCAACAATTTAAATGTATCTAGGGTAGAAATTCGCAATTTTGACTATGTTTAAGAATAACCTGCGGAGCTTTTTCAAAATATACATGTCTAAACTCCACCCCAAATCTACTGAATTAGAATTGCAGCTGGAGGCCCAGGGAACTAAATTTTAAGTTCTACAGTTAATTGATACTGATGCAAATCCAAGCTTGAGAATCACTGGCCTAGCTGGGACAGAGAAGAAAATAAAAGGAAAGAACCTATCACACTGATAGAGAAATCCAGAACTTCTATGAGAGGACCCCCAAATGATAAGGGACAAGATTTGGGACAGTGTAGGTATGTTAATTGAAGTATTAGGAGTTACCCAACTGTAGAGTCTGAGCTAGTTATTAGTCCCTACAGTTGTGGTAGGCAAGGGGGTGAAAAGAGGAGGGAAAAAGGAAGTAGTTTGGATCATGTAACCAAAGGTGCAGTGGGGCTGGAGTCAAAACCTAAGACTCAGGCTCAAATTCTGACCCTGCCAATTATTGGCAGTACAAACTTAAACATGTCACTTAAAGTCTCTGAGCCTCCTCATCTGTAAAAAGAAAGTCACATTTACCTCGTAGGACTGGTGCGAAGACTGAGAGTATATGAAAGGGTTTTGTAAACTATAACAAACTAGGACCAGTGTTTTTCAAACTATGCATTACCACTTAGCAGAATGTTAAGAAATCAATTTAACAAGTTGCAGCCAATATTTTTTAAATAAAATAGGACATAAAATTTTAAGAACGCACCATACTTTATAAGGGTATCTATAATTTTGTAAAATTTTGTTTCAGTTATATATAGGTCATGATATAAATGACATTTTATGGCAAGCTGTGTCAAAAAAGTCTTAAGGCTACAACTAATCCTTATCTCCCACCCCCTCCACTTTAAGCCCTCCCCTAGACAGCAAACACAGTGAATTAAGTGCATAAACCAAAGATTCTTAAACTTTCTCAACTATCAGAAATCTGATAGTTGGACTCTTCCCCCCCAAAAAGGCACCCTTCATACAAAATTTCTTTTGCATTCAAGTTTGGGATTCCTAAAGCCTTGCCATGAATTAGGTTAAGACCTCTTTCTCCAAAGAGAACAAAGAATGAAGTTGACCTTTGAGGAAGGCACACACAGTTGCCTTTGTCCAGGTCTGGTTGTAGGACAGTCTGCCTATCCAAATAAAAATTATTTTCTTCATTATGTCAAGTAGTTGACAATGTCAAGTTCTCTTTTATTTAAACAATATGTAATGTAGGCCGAGCATGGTGGCTCAAACCTGCAATCCCAGTAATTTTCGAGGTCAAGGCCAAGGAGTTCGAGAACAGCTTGGGCAACATAGTAAGACTTCATCTCTACAAAAAATTTAAAAATTAGCCGGGTGTAGAGGCATGCACCTGTAATCCCAGGTACTCCAGAGGCCAAGGCAGGAGGATCACTTAAAGCCTAGGAATTCAAGGCTGCAG